AAAGGAAATGAATTTTTACATTTAGGGAAAGCCATAATTTACGACCAAGTTGAATTTTTCAAAGACAGAAGTCGCAATTGTCCAAGAATAAAGTTGTAGACAATACTATGAATTTTAAATAGTAATTCCTTTGCAGTCCAGGCTGAATATCAGGTCATTTCTTTTATGGACTGAAACCCAAAAATGGCCGCGTACACCAATAAGGTGACGTTTTGCCGCATTCACAGACTATCGTGAACTGTTTAGCGTCAAGGTCGTGACCGTTACAGGTCAAAAAGGCAAGAGAAAGACCAGGCAGGAGCCCGAGTCATTTCGACTGTTTCAAAGAGTTGGAAACTTACACAAATGACGCTTGGGTGGCCCAACTGGTACCAATACTTGAAGTGGTGCTTGGAGTAACACGGGACAGTTTGTCCTTTGACGTTTGATGTCAAGCAAAGCTCTGGCGGGGGGGAAAGGGGAAGACACAAGTCAGTTGAGTTTCGAAGTCCTACATGTGAGCTGTACGAGGACACATTTGGTCCCCACGACTGGCCATTCAGCGCACGAGTTGAACGCCTCTTTCACCACTGACAGTTTTTTCCACGACTGTATGACATTTCTGTGCCTTTATAGAACGACGACTTGGCAAACGTACACCAATAAGGTGACGTTTTGCCGCATTCACAGACTATCGTGAACTGTTTTGCGTCAAGGTCCTGACCGTTACAGGTCAAAAAGGCAAGAGAAAGACCAGGCAGGAGCCCGAGTCATTTCGGCTGTTTCAAAGAGTTGGAAACTTACGCAAATGACGCTTGGGTGGCCCAACTGGTACCAATACTTGAAGTGGTGCTTGGAGTAACATGGGACAGTTTGTCCTTTGACGTTTGATGTCAAGCAAAGCTCTGGCGGGGGGGAAGGGGAAGACACAAGTCAGTTGAGTTTCGATGTCCTACATGTGGGCTGTACGAGGACACATTTGGTCCCCACGACTGGCATTCAGTTGAATGCCTCTTTCACCACTGATAGTTTTTTCCACGACTGTATGACATTTCTGTGCCTTCATAGAACGACGACTTGGCAAAGCTGTTCTCTTGAAAACGCTTTACTCGAAACCCCAGTGGCACCCAGATATCAACAAGTGCCGTTTCGTCCCATTGGTAACATGTCATTGCTCCACCAAGTCGCCCCCGGTTGTTCTACAAGTGCACAGAAAGGTCAATAGTGTGGAAAAAAAACATCGCTGGTAAGAAAGTTGTTTTTAGAGTGCGTGGAATTGGCCTATTAGTGAGGACAAAGACAATTCGGTGCACTATTGGGATGTCGGAAAAAAAAACCCAAAACACTAGCACACACACACACGGTAAGTACGCTTCAGTTGGAATAAATATTCACTGGTCACCTCGGCCTTACCCAAAGGGATGTTATTCTTCACCACTTTGTCAACGAGGCTCTGCGATCCGCCGACGTCAGGGTGCAGGAAGGTGCCGTGCCCGATGCGGTCCGGCGGCAGATTGAGCAGCAGCTCCGATTCCTCCAACTGAGACGGCACCTGCAACAATTCATCCCCGCGCGTCAGCATTTCTCTTGCTCATTGACCGACCCTAAAGGCACACTTCATTCGAGACACTGTGCTACTTGTGGCTCCGAGAATAATTGACACAAGTTAACGCTCGAGTATTGTTTTCAGCTTTAACCAATTCCTGCAGTTCATATACTTACTCGAACCAAAAATGTATGCAGAACTGTCCTGCATCACACCGAGACCTCTTTTATAATATTTCGGGTGCCTTGTATCGCAATAGGCACACGTTCCTAATGTTGTGGACCATGAGTGCATGTTTCAAAAACTTACTTCGGAGAGGTGCAGTGACAACTTCAGTCCGCTGTTCCTGGCTCGCTGTAAGGCGGGAAGCATGTCCTTACCATGACCCACCTGAAAACGACATCAGGTTGTATCATTTATTGAATGGAGGGACTTGGAATGGGCGTTACACCAATCAAACATTTAACCAGTGTTATAGGTGTTGTTTTTTTTTTTTTGTTTTTTTTTTTTCAGATTCGATTTGACCTATTCACTTACCGTGTGCTGCTTGGAGATGGTTTTAAAGCATTTACCTTTAACGTACTTGTCAAAAAAAAAATTCTAATCTCTTTAGACAACTCTCTCCCTCTCTTTCTCTGGTCCATGTTTAATTAAGTGTGATACACACCATGTCACCAAACAGTGACTTCCTGTCACTCTTTAAATAGATTACAATTGACTGACTGATTACAATTAAAAAGCAATGTAGGATTTTCACTGTTTGTTTGGGTTTTTTTAATCTATTATTACTTTCGGAAAGTTCAAAATATTTCTGTGACCACTGTGGGTTTTTCTTTTATTAATGGAGGGATACCGATAATTTTGTGTGTGTATTAGTCACCATGTATAGAATACTGTGAAAACACAGTGAAATGGCTTGCGTACCCTCGGATCCCCACTGAGATCAAGTCCAACCACCAGCCCATCAGCAGACAGCATGTACTCTTCGGCCAGTTTCACCGTTTCCATGGCAACCTCAGTCCCATTCCTGCGATCAATGGCAACGAGGAACCTGCAAGAGAAATATTGACCTCTGTCAGCATCTTTCTTCACTTTAGGATATTCATTGTGGGCCTACCTGACATCAATGTCCACCTCCTCCTCTTTACACTGCTGGATGGCTTTTATGATGGTGTCCACGTAACTCTTTTTGGTCAACCCTGAAGAATGACGAGACACGAGAACCATCTTAGCGGTCAGCAATGGGTGTATGAAAAGATGCATTTCATGTCTCAAACCTGTTTTCGTCTCCTCTCTCGGTGTACTCCTAAGTTCTAAATATTTGACACCGTCGGCAGCAAACTCCTTGATGACATCTGTAGCCACCTAGAATGAAAGATCTAACATTGCCATGGTGCTTGCAGAAACCATTTTTCAAAAATCACACTTTTTATTATCACCATCAGGATGTCCTCCTCAGTGTCCACCAACTGATGAATGACCTTGAACACCTGAAAGCACCTGTAGCGTGCCATAGCGAGACATTAACAGCCGCTGCGATCATGTGTTGATTACAGAGCACACGAGTGGTCTACGTACTCATTCAACGTTCTCTGCTGGCCTTTCTCGATGGCCGTCATGTGGTGTTCAATGTTAAGATGTGGCTTTCGCTTAATGAGCTTCTCCATGGTTTGGAAGCTCACCGAGCCGTTGAGATGAGCGTGCAGCTCCTGGTGGGGGGGAAAAGAAATTCATTTGAATTGGCATATTTCCCAAAATGCTTTCAAATGCTCTATTTCAAAATAACTGTCCGATAAATGTGACTTACCACTTTTGGGAGCTCCCGATAAAAGACATCGTCGTTCTCGTCCATCGTCAAAACAACATAAATATCGACGAGTTTTGGAGATAAGAGTTTAGCGTCTACAAGACGAGAGGCTTGCCTGTGTTTTCAGGAAACATTTGGCCGTGACACACAATCATGTGCAGCAAACTAATAAGTCCGCGGGGGAAGAGCGAACGGTTCCGCATACGCGTCACGTTTGTTTGTTACACAGCCAAGTGGAAAAAAAAAGTTTTTTTTTTCTCGTCACATGACAATAAGTCTAAAAATTTAGTATAAATATAGAAAATATGTATCCATAACAGAACATAATAATGTTACGTTGAGGTTTGTAACAAAAAAATATATATATACAAAAAATCAACATTTAATGGAACATTTCTGTTCACATGAAAGCACGCAATCTTTGAATTGTCTTTTAACAAAGGCATGATGTCTGATTTGGCTTTGTACCTCCACCATCTGGAGCAGGTTGTCAAAGTAGTTTTCCCCGTCAATGGTAAGCTGACCATTGTCGTATTTAATGTGGTAGTGCTTCCACCTTGTCGTCGGTGCTCAAACACAGTGTGTGGGGAGAGCAAGCGCTCGCCCTGGAGCCGGGTTATTTTGCCATGAAACCATCTGTAATGACAAGCATGAATGAACCCCTGATACTTTCAGATGCAGACACAACAATATTTCCTGTTGCCTGGTACTTAAAATAATGCTGCACCAGGAGCAAATGAACAAACCTAATTTGGGCACTCACGGCATAAGATTCAGCTTGCTGCATTTTTCCACCGATGCCACATTACAAAGCCATTTCTGAATCTTCCAGGTGGGAACTGCCCCTTCACAACCTGCTTCATTTTTAGCGATACACCATTCAGGATCCTGCAAGACAACGAGTCAGTAATAAAAACGCACAAGCAAGCCTTATCTCTGTAGCAGAACTATTAGTCAACAGTTCTCCTTCGTTAAAGGAGGGGTGGTGTTCCACTGAGCCTTTAAAACTGAATCTGGCCACCCACTTTGTACCTAAGGAATCATGCACATCAAAATGTAGGATCATTTTTGCGTGTGTGCTCATCAGACATACATTGCATGCTCCTGCAGAGATATATTTTTCACCTTTTCCATGGTAAGGCAGCAGAAATGCCCTCACATGTGAAGCGATGTGTCCTGCCTACAAACAGTACATGTAAACAACAATCAGTCATGAAGAAAAAGCATCATTTTGAAATGAGGCGTTCACTCAAGATGAGCATTTGACTATACCCCATCCAGACTGGTCACCAGCCAATCGCAGAGGTACAGGAATGTCACGGCCTGAGTTGGAACAACAAACCTCAGAGTTGTGAGACGGATAAGATAACTACTATGTAAAATTTGCAATAATTTAGTCAATTATTGTGGTGTAGCAAACCACCAGAGCATATGCAAGCGGCATTTAATTCCAGCACAGTGCCCTGTTAGTCTAGAAATTAACATGTCTTCTCCGGTTATCTGTTCTTGCTTGGTATGTGGTATGAATAGCTACTTCTCATTTAATGCTAACAAAACTCATGACAATTTTCCACATTGGAATGCCAAGATTTGTGACTAAGAGGAGCTTACAGAGTGTTAACAGAAAGAAAATCCTGTTTTTTCGAAACTAACAATCTCACAATATACATCAGTGATCATGTCTGAAGACGTACATTGTAAAATGAACTTACAGCCGTTGCTCTCTGTAGGAGTAAAAAGCAGGATTGAAGAGGATGTCTTTCAATAATCCTCAGCAAAAATTCGATTTATTTGAAATACAACTCTCTGTAGGAGTAAAAAGCAGGATTGAAGAGGATTTGTCTTTCAGTAATCCTCAGCAAAAATTAGGTTTATTTGAAATACAGTACTCGGTATTTTCATTCTTAACTGTAAATCTACTTGCAAACATTTCATGTCAAATTGCCACCGAATAACATACTTTAGAGTTAACTATTACAATCATGGTAAACCTCTAATAGTATACGGATATTTGTGACCAAAGATTGCAAACATCTACCTCTTTGTGTCGCCACATTATTTAAGTCACTAACAACTTTTTTCTTGTCGCTTCAAGATTATATCTGTAACCTGCTGCTGACATCACACAGATGCCGAGTGCACAGGAAGCAGGAAGGAAGAGCAACCTAAAAAAAAAAAAAAAGTAAAAGATAACAGCCTCCGAATAAAACAAAACATCTTAATGCTTCAAAATACTCTAAAGTATGATTTACCGTACCTGGATGCGAGTCAAGCAGTGTGACAGGGAAATGTCACAGTTGTCAACGAAAGTCAACAAAACTGGTTTAACATGTACGAACACATTGGAGATATGAAGTGAGGCTCAAATAACTTAGGTATGAGGAAAATGTTGATGATAAAAAGTAGGCACAGCACTCTGTGGATAGTGTAATAATACCAAAGTATGTGGACCCTGACTAGGATTACCAGTTAGGAGGAGGAAAAAAAAAGTTACCCCCCATCAGCCGAGATGCTCATATTCTTCTCACGCTGTGATTTGGCATTACGCATGCACGGTATGGATACACAACACGAAGTGGACCGCCTGGTAATCTATCTTCGTTTAAGAGCTCTCAACTGGATGGATGCACAGATATCTGTAATTCCGTTTTGGCAACTCATAAAGAACATTTGAGATATTAACAACTGCTCAGGTTCGTCAAACTCAGAATATCTTGGACAATGGAAAATGCCCTCTCTCCCAGTTATCTAAATTAGAACACGATGATTGCTTGAGCCTTACTTGCGCATCTTGATGTGTATGTTCATTCATAAATTATTTTAGTCGCACTATATTGAACAAAAATAGGGCTCAATCTTTTGTTGTGAATTTTCTGAGTAGAAAAACTAAGTTTGCATAGCACAAGTGAGGATCCATTTACTGTTTTTGTATTTTATTAAAACTTGTAAAAACAATACTGTCAACTTCAAAACACGCACACCTTCCGTTCGTTTTACACCAGCAGTAAGATTACAAAAACAAGATTATAGATTTGCACTTTCACATTAATTCTACGTACACTTATCATGGGTATGAAGATCATATTCATTCATTTGGGGATCTAAATCATTAAAAGCCCCACATTAAAATGACATTCATGCCCACAGCGGGCGCAACTATAACTTAAAAACAAAGAACATGTAGAAAATATAAATGCTTCTCCAAAAACATAATGGAACAAACTTGACTCACGGTAAAACCTAAACGGTGTTGTGTACAGCAACTCCAACATCTTTGCGAGGTCCCAAAGCCAAGAAAATCTCCACAGCGTGTTGACGTTCATCCTGAAAGGCTTCGCTGCGCTTCAGAATCAGTCCATGAATGACGCATGAGCAACATGTCACTGATTCATCACTTGTTCTGTGCACACGGAGCGCTGCACTGCTTCATGTACTCTTCGGCTCGTGCGTTCAGGATATAATAAAGCAGTCTTGTGGGTCAACTTGCATCGTGTGGCACAAAACAGACTCAAACATTCAGACAGCAACACAGGAAGTGTTGAACAGATGAAATTTCACAAATCAGAAAATAAACAAGGCTCATTGGGGATTAAGAGATGTGTCTCAACTGGTATAATGTTGTGAACATTGTCAAATGATAAGATGAAAGTAGAAGGCGCAGTACATGGGTCTTGTCAGAGCTGCGTGCCTATTTGTCGGAGCTCCTTTTTGACGACGAACAGCCGCTCTTTCAACAATTTAAAAGTTGGCCGAGATTCAGGGTTCAAGTGCCAGCAGTCCTTCATGGTGATATAGAGAGATTCAGGACACCCGTCGGGAGAAGGCATCCGGTAGCCGCTCTCCAATTGAGGCACCACAAATTTGGACTGCTACACAGTGGGAACAAAGTTGAGACTGTAACATGTTTTCAACACACGCAAATAAAATAAGATTTAAAATTGAAGTGTTTCATCAGAATTTTGTTGGGGGTAAAGGTTTGAAACAATTTTTAAGATTTTTACAGGTAGCGTACACATCTGCGCCTTAAATTGTCACTCCACCGGGGGCATCCGCGAGACACTTTTTGTTGCTGCGCCGGCCCGGCCGTCTTGGCACAGATCGTTCTACCATATTGGCAAATGCGCAGCTAGTCTTACGTTGACACAAAAATACGAATCTGCAGGCATTGGTGCCCCAGCGCAGATGGCCGGTCTATGAAAAGAGAGCCGTCTATGTGTTCCGACATCAGGTTAATTCCACGGGAATAGAAATCCGTTGTAAATCGAGGACTCCTATACTTCAAATGAGCTGTTCACTACTACACCTGCAAATATTATTAACTCTTACTTACAGTTGTACTTCAATATACATGATTTTATAGAATGCTTTCTGTCCTTATATCCTGCATACTTACCATTTTCGGGTAAGGCATTCGACCAAATGAGTAAATCTCCCAAAGCAAAACCCCAAAGCTCCAAACATCTGATTTGGTGGAGAATTTCTTTTGAGAGAGAGAGAAAAAAAATACTGCTGAAGATGACTTTAGGCATTTGCTTAATACAAAACAAACAAACAAACAAAAAAAAAAGAACATCCTCACCACTTAACAAGGCTACCTTTTCTTTGAGGGCCTCTGGTGATGTCCACTTGACTGGCAGCTTGTTCGTATCCTCAAGGGAAGACACCTTCTTGGTCAAACCAAAGTCACTGACTTTAGCGACGAGATCCTCTGATAACAGGACGTTACGGGCTGCAAGGTCTCGGTGGACAAAGTGATTGGTCTCCAAATATACCATGGCCTCACAGACATGCCTGCAAAAAGAACAACAATCAGCCAAGCATGCCAAAAAAAAAGAATAAATAAATGAGGACGGTTGATTGAAGATTTTGTTTTGTTGATTAATTTTGTTCTACATTGTACATTCCGGATAATTATCATATTGTGAAGCTATTACTCATAATCATAGTCCTCGCCTGTATAAATTGACATTCATCTTGGCATATTGAAAACTAGAAGTCATGCCTTGCGCCAGGGGTGTCAAACTCATTTTTGTCGCGGGCCACATTGGGGTTCCGGTTTCCCTTTGGAGGACCGTTATGACTGTGAAACCATATCAATGTTGAACCACCTCCACGTATTACATATACAAATAGATGGCTAACTGGTTTTGACATCAGAAGTCAAGAATAATGGATTGTTCAAACATTGTAATGATTACATCATATAGGACAATTTTAAATTTTGATTCTTATGCAAGAATCACGGAAGTTGACATGCTTGAATTGCTTTCGCGGGCCCCATAAAGTGTTGTGGCGGGTCAGATCTGGCCCCCGGGCCTTGACTTTAACACCCGTCCCTTACACGCTAGGAGCGAATAATTAATCAAATTCAAACTGACATGGCAATATAGAATGCAGTTTTCAAATCGTAAAGGCTGCAATTAAAAAAACAAAAATAATAATAATTTTGCTCATTATGGTCTAATAATTTGGACTGTTCAGTGGCGGTCAACTGTTGATGTGCAATGTACACACATTGCAAAATTAAGTAGAGAAACACGAGTGAGTACTGTCCGTCCTCTGGAACGTAGGTAGTCCACCAAGGTCCCCTGAAAAATACCCACATATAAGTCACGCGTTCAGAATCTTGCCGATGAATGAGACAGACACTCACCTTTCTCATGTATTCAGTAATAATGAGCAAGTTGCCGTTCGCTTCTGAAATCACTCCAAGCAGCTTCACCAAGTTATTGTGGCTTAATTTCCTTTGAGAAGAGAATAGAAAGCAGGTGAGTTTGGAGTTTCTTCATTTTTATCCAGGAATACTGAAGAGATTTGAACTCGAAGCAGAGATGGGAATTTCACATTTTGTGATTTGGATTCCATTATCGTACTGTGAATCGATTCCAATTCATCCCAATGATTCAAAGATCCGGATCCATTTTGATGGGAGGCAAATTTGTGTTTGACATCAGATCTTTAAAAAAAAAAAAATTGCCTTGAACCTAAAAAATACACAATCCCGTGTTACGTGCTACCTCTTGGTGTCGACGTCAACTACTCAAAAATGGCCAGGATGTTGCTGCGCTGGGTATCTCATTGTTTTGATACTTGATCTGCTTGTTTTTTTTTTTTTTTTTTTTTTTTTTAAAGGAACCAGATGCAATCGATATTAGCGTGTTTAATTTTGATGCACGCTGCCTAATAAAATGAAGGAAAATAATTTTCTGTGTTGCTTTAAAATAATCTGGCATGATGTTCTTTGAATTGGTTGATATTAAAAATGAGAAGAAGAGTGATGGAAACTGGACGGAAAACAAATAGTTGAGACACACGGGAGCGTGAATGTGAATGCTTTCAATTTTTCTGGATGACTTACATCATGACAGAGGCCTCTGCAATAAAGGCCTGCGCAGTAGTATTATTTTTAAGGCACTTCACGGCTACTTGAGTCTTTTTGTACTCAGCCAACAAGACCTCTGCAAACACAACACTCTCAATTAACATTGACTGTGCCCTAATATGTCACAACAAATCAACCATAATGTTGAATCGGGGAGGGGGCGGGGACAATTCAAATGGCTACATGCCTCCAAACTCTCCCCGGCCAATGATCTTCAGTAACTTGAGTTCGTTTCTGTTCATCACCCAACCACCTGTATGTGAGCCAAAGGCGGGAGATATGCAACAATCACACACTACTAGCAGTCTGCATGTGAATATCAATTCACTCAAATAAACTCACCGCTCAAAAATTCATTTTGGACAGCGACCGTCTCCTTCTCCAGTTTTGGATTGATTAGAATCGTGCAGAGCCCATCAGCTTTGCTTTTGTAGTGCTTTGGAAAGGAAAGAAAAAAAAGGGGAAAGTGGGTTGAGGGAATAACTCAAACCGAAGTAAATTGCTCTAATAAGAGTGTGGGGGGCGGGGGACACTAGGTGGGCTGCAGATTATTATATATTTTATTTTTTTTACACCGTGTACTCTCTGGTTTATGTCAAATGGCAAAAACTTAAATTCCTCAGTCTGCATCTTTATCCAGACGAGCACAAATTTTATGGTTTCTATCTCTGCATGTGGAAATCAATGTAATTTTTGGATCTTCATTAAAAATAAAAATAATAAAAACGAAAAATTCTCAATATTTTGCACCCCGGGAAGAGGTTTAATTGACACTGTCAAGGAAAGCAATTTAACAATATGTTTGTGGTTGTGATCGTAATTTTCTGTGGAGTAAGATTCAATTCGTTGCTGTGTATGTTGCAGTGCAGTACTAAACCACTGGAGGGCACACCTGAGCATTGCCCTTTTGGCAAACATGAGTTGACTTGCACTCCTTTGGTAAACTCAAGGGCATCAATTTTGATGGAAGAACATGGATTGCACCAGCATGCTGCTTTCATGCAACAAGTCTCATTGATGACAATGTCGTAGAATGCAGTCGATAAATATTTAAACCTTCTTGGAAAGAACATTTTCGACTTGACGAAGGTGACTCTCTCAGTTAGTGAGAGGTTTGCATTTTCTGTTGGCAAAGTTAACGGCAACTTATTCATCTCCTGATAGACTTCATGTCGTAGTGCAGCAAAATGGAATAGAGGCCATGCACTCTTTGAATTATCTTCCACCAAAGGCGTGTGATCTGATTTGGCTATTTTTGGGCGAATCCTGCAGCTGGCGTAACCAACATGTTGAACATAAAATACGACTAAGGAAGTTGATCTGATCTGATTTGGCTTTTTGGCGAATCCTGCAGCTGGCGTAACCAACATGCTGAACATAAAATACGACTAAGGAAGTTGATTACACAATAAAAGGCTCCTTTCAGGTTGTACCTCCACCAGCTGGATCAGGTTGTCAAAGTACACTTCCTGGTCAATGGTAAGCTGGCCATTGCCGTATTTTATGTGGTAGTGCTCCACCTTGTCGTCGGTGCTCAAACACAGTGTGTAGTCCCCTGGATAGTTGGTGCTCTCTCTCACCAAGAAGAGGCCCATCTCTGGTGGGGAGAGCAAGCGCTCGGCCTGGAGCCGGGTTATTTTGCCGTGAAACCATCTGCAATGACAACCGTGCAGGTACCATTTATTTACAGCCACAGTACACGTATGTATATTTGTATAGGAAGACGGGAACGTTATAGCACATATTGTTCAGCCACAGCCGCTTTCGGATGCGGAATCAACAAACATTAAGAATAAGAAAACCTTTATTCATCTCACAATGGAGACATTCCCAATTTACAGCAGCAAAGTTATGAAAGGAAGAAGTGGAAGAACAAAAAGTATAGGAGCTGCTGTAAAGGCAGCCACTCTCGCGGCGCCATTTTGAAGTCATCAGAACACCAAAATAATACAACACAACACATAAGACACAGACCGTTTACTGTACTTCAACTTTGCTGCACCAGGAGCAAATGAACAAACTTAATTTGGACACTCACGGCATAAGATTCAGCTCGCTGCCATTTTCAACAGCTGCCACATTGTGACAGAATCTCTGAATACGTCCGGTGGGAACCGCCCCTTCACGACCTGCTTCATTTTTAGCTATACACCATTCTGGATCCTGCAAGACAATGAGTCGGCAATGAAAACGAGCAAATAGTGTATGCTAGCCGATGAGCATTAAAGAAACACACACACACACACTAACACAACACAACACATAGGACACAGACAGTCGTACACGATGAGCATTAAAGAAAAAAAAACACACACACACACACACACACACACACACACACACACACACACACACACACACACACACAAAACAAGTCTTACCTCTGTAACCGCGATGATAGTCAACAGATCTCCTTCGTTAAAGGGGAGGTGATGTTCTAAAGAGCCTTTAAAGCCGAGAAGTCTTACCTCCGTAACCGCGATGATAGTCAACAGATCTCCTTCATTAAAGGGGAGGTGATGTTCTAAAGAACCTTTAAAGCCGAATCTTGCCACACACACTGTGCCTTTGGGCCAGGCAGTCTATTGGAAATCATATACATCAAAACGTAGGGTCATTTTTTTTGGTGGGGGTGCGCTCATCAGGCATATTGTGAACACTGTGCCTTTGGGCCAGGCAGTCTATTGGAAATCATGTACATCAAAATGTAGGGTCATTTTTGGGGGGGTGCGCTCATCAGGCATATTGTCAACGAACTTGGAATATTTCGCTCTTTTAGGGAAATCGGAGACAACCACAAATTCAACAAACAAGAAGAGTTCACCTTTGCCATGCTGAGACGGTGCAAATTCCCTCACAGATGACGTCTTCTGCCAGCAAACATTTCATCTGTTGCACACACTGAAAGAAATGATGGTCAAATGTAAAATGTTTGAAAGGCAAAACTGACTGAATTCTCAATAATTCACAACATCATTTTATTCCAAAAAAAAAGTTTAACTTTTTCATTTTTTATCATATCTTCACCCTCCAAAAATAATGGCCAAAGTGATTTTTTTTCCCCAGAAAACAGGAAAAACGGAACCAAATACTGATTCTATTATTTTTATTAATAATTTAATTTCAGGGGTAGAATCAAATATATTTCACTAAGGATGGAGCCAACTTTTATTTTACTTTTATTTATTTATAGCAAAAAGTATTTATATGTTGTTGTTTTTCTGGGTCAAGCTATGACATAGGTCATTATTTTAAGAGTGTGACAACATGATTCTTCGGCTAATTGAATTCTGGAAAGTGGTCCATAACATGTTGGTTCAATTCCCAGAAGAAAATCACAGCTTTTTCCTCCCCCCAAAAATAAACGCTGTTCTTCTAGCTTGTCCGGGTTGACAGTGCAGGAAAGAATTTTGACAGCAACTCTGGAATCAAAAGATTGTGCTTTATATTTCCATGACACGCAGTTACAGTGAGGCAGTCAGAATTAAATCACGTTTACTTCCTCTTTTGTCATGTCCTTTGAGGGAGGGGTCACCATGGAGATGACAGATGACAAAATCATGAACACACCCGTTAATCCACCGCATTATGACGCTTCAAAGCCGACCACATTAAAGGATTTCAAATTGGTTTTTCCAAATTATTATTTGAACTATAGCACAACCCGAATGCATTCAAGTAAATAATGATCTAAAATTAGTTAATTTCTGCTTACTAGGAAACAGTTTTGGCATTGACTTTTAATTGGTTGGCAGATTTAATCGGGCCTTATCAGCCGTTTTCAAATTGGCTAAAAGCTGCTGATTCTGATTTGCTTTTTACAACATAAAAAAAAGATAATGACATTCAAACATGTAATTGGTTGGCAGATTTAATCGGGCCTTATCAGCCCTTTTCAAATTGGCTAAAAACTGCTGATTCTGATTTGCTTTTTTCCCCTACACATTAATTCATTACAACATAAAAAAAAGACAATGACATTCAAACATTTATTTATTTGAAGCGACTGCTTTTTCTCTCCGCTGTATAGTTAAACAACTATTAAAGGATAATGTATTCTAAATCAGTTAAATGTTTTGCTTGTAATTCATATACTGTATTTATTTTTGTGAGTGTTAAGGTAGCCAAAAAAAGGACTTATTCAATTAATGATATATTTTCTAAATTCATTGGACCATTCATCGGTTATTGTAATTTTATCCTGCCAAATATCACAATTCATGTCTGCCTCCAAAAAAAAAAAAAAATCCATAATTGATTAGACGCTAATTAAAAAACTGACACGGAAACCGTAGTGGATGTAGAACATTCAGAGAGAGATTTTAGAGTCTTTCATTAACCTGCCATGCATGTTATTTGGAACGTGGGAATAAATCGGGAGTACTCGGCGAAAAACCCCAACAAACTCCACACAGGAAGGTCTGAGGCCGGATTCAAACCCTGAACCTCTGCACTTTTTTTTCCACCAATTTTTTTTTTTTTTTTTTTTGGTGTGTTTTTTTTTTTTTTAAATTTTGACAGCAACTCTGGAATCAAAAGATTGTGCTTTATATTTCCATGACACGCAGTTACAGTGAGGCAGTCAGAATTAAATCACGTTTACTTCCTCTTTTGTCATGTCCTTTGAGGGAGGGGTCACCATGGAGATGACAGATGACAAAATCATGAACACACCCGTTAATCCATCGCATTATGACGCTTCAAAGCCGACCACATTAAAGGATTTCAAATTGGTTTTTCCAAATTATTATATGAACTATAGCACAACCCGAATGCATTCAAGTAAATAATGATCTAAAATTAGTTAATTTCTGCTTACTAGGAAACAGTTTTGGCATTGACTTTTAATTGGTTGGCAGATTTAATCGGGCCTTATCAGCCCTTTTCAAATTGGCTAAAAACTGCTGATTCTGATTTGCTTTTTTCCCCTACACATTAATTCATTACAACATAAAAAAAAGACAATGACATTCAAACATTTATTTATTTGAAGCGACTGCTTTTTCTCTCCGCTGTATAGTTAAACAACTATTAAAGGATAATGTATTCTAAATCAGTTAAATGTTTTGCTTGTAATTCATATACTGTATTTATTTTTGTGAGTGTTAAGGTAGCCAAAAAAAGCACTTATTCAATTAATGATATACTTTCGAAATTCATTGGACCATTCACCGGTTATTGTATTTTTATCCTGCTAAATATCACAATTCATATCTGCCTCCCAAAAAAAATAATAATTAAAAAAAAATCCATAATTGGTTGGATGCCACTTAAAAAACTGGCATGGAAACCGTAGTGGATGTCAAACATTCAGAGAGAGATTTTAGAGGGAGAATTTAGAGTCTTCCATTAAACTGCCGTGCATGTTATATGGAACATGGTAAGAAATCGGGAGTACCCGGTGAAAAACCCCAGCAAACTCCACACAGGAAGGCCAGAGGCCGGATTCAAACCCTGAAACTTTGCACTTTTTATTCCACCATTTTTTTTTTTGTGTGTGTTTTTTTTTTAACTTTTTAATTGCAATTTTTAAATGACATGTACCAATTGATTTAATTGCAAATTCTAAAATAACCTGTGGAAAGCAAAGAATATTCCAATTTTACTGTCAATGTCGATGAACCCTTTCAGGGACAGCGGTTACCACAGTGGACAGCTTCTCATTTTGCGAAAACGCTATAGAAATCAGCATGTATTGTATTGTATTGTATTGTATGCTATATAAATCAGCATGTATTGTATTGTATTGTATTGTATTATCAGGTTACAGGGTGCAGGAAAGGGTTAAAATCATTCCTGTCACACCATAGCACGCAAACAAAACAATATGGCAGGCAGACGAATAATTGTCATCATACCTTCCACAGGCAAGGTTCCATGACATAAAATGCAAACATACTAATCTTCCACGCACAGAGACTCATAACAAACCTAAGCAAAAACAAACATTTAGAATTATGAAGAATGAAGAGACTTTTGTATTATTGTGATTTTTTTTTTTTTTAATCAGATTTGAATCAATCTGCCATTGATGACAGTTTGGAAAACGGCATATGCCATCTATGACAATTGATCACCCTGGTTAGCTGTTAGCTAGCAAATCAGTCCAGGAGACAATCAGAAAGTACACAAAAGCAAAGCCACTTCAAAAAGAAATGGTATTGTCTGGTAAATAAAGCTCAGCAAATTGTTGCTTTTTAACTTTGTTCCTGTTTGATTATGAGTGTGATGGGCATTGTTCTGGATACGTGTGATTTTTATGTCACCAAACACTGGCTGCCGGCGGTAGGATAAAGAATGATGGACCCCGCCTGGCCACCCCTCGCTGAGATGTTTTGTCACCCTGGCTGCCCTACTGAAAAATTTCTGGCTTGGCCCCTGCAGAGGCAAAAATGTCAACATTCACACAAAGGTAGGATCAGTGCAGATTAATTTAAGTCAACTAGTGAATTTTTTTTTCCATATTGCAAAATATATTTCAATTTTTTTTCCAATATCAACGAGCCGTAGTACCATTTGCAAAAGACATGAGGGATGTCACACCCTCTGGAGTGCAGTGGTCCTCTGTTTTTGCCGTCAAACTGGTTGATCAACATCAAATTCTTATCTTGTACAAGTCAAACGTTGTTGCTGTTGCGACTGCACCAGTCAGACTGCGCCCAGAAAGACAGCACAGGAATGCTGACGTTCAAATCTGCCGCTCCCTTGTTTGTTGACATAATCAGACCTCTGAGTGCCAATCATGTATATCTAAGGTAATTCAAAAAACATGGTGTGATTTTTCGGAAAGCGGGGTTACATGTATGTCGCTTTTATGTCATCAGTGTACAGCAGCAACATGACAGGAAAATCCTACCCACGTGTGCAGCTGAGATTCTGTGTCAGTTTCAGTTTGCTTGGAGGTGCACTGAAATGAGTAGGGATGCACTGTACGGTTGTATGATCAATGTCTGTTTTTGCATTTCTTGTAATGTTAATCTGAAAGAGTTTCTTGTTTTTGAATAAAAGGATAGCGCTTTCAAAATGTTTTATTGAAAATGAAATGATTGTCCGGATAATTATTTTAATTATGGCGATGTTAAAATTGACGCAATATCTTTGTCGTTTTGTTGTGATATTAAAAGCAATACATCTGTCAAAAAAAAAAAAAAAAAACATTACTGGTCGCTCGCTTCAGACAAACACTGTGAAACTACATGCAAACCATGATTGTTTGCACCACTGAGCCAATAGAAACATAAAATGACTGGACCAGCCTATTTCTTTGTCACTGCTGTCATTATGCAAAAAAAATACAAAACTGTACTTTTTTTAATATCACAAGCTTTTTCTTTTTCTTTTTTTTTTTTTTACAATATCACAAGTTTTCAGACAGTATTGCAAGATGTTTTTCTTTTAAACGTTGCAAACCTCCCCACAATATTGTGGCCAATAAACCCATTCATCCAGAAAGTTTTTGACTTGTGTTGTCACTCAGGTTAGACTTGAAAATTGGTTTCAAATTCACTTTGCTTTGTAAAGGGCCTTACAACGACCATGACCACAAAATCTGAAGCATTTAATTGTCCAAATTTGCTTTGATAAGATGATTATCATTACGAGAACTTTCCTTTCCTCCTTGTGACATAAAAATAGTGTCATAAATTAATGAATGAATTTATATTTCAATGGGCCCCTCTTTCCCTCAGCATTCCCAAGTCATACAAGTACCATATGCAGTATTATTCAGACATAAAGACGCATCTAAAATAAAATCTATCCGAGAACAATTCAATGTCCCATTTCCACCTAATGAAACGTGATTCATGGCAGTGGAATCACTTGGCCTATTTTAGGCAGGCAGAATCCTTTAAAAATAGCCATAAGATTGATTGCCATTAATGTAATTTAGCTTGAGTCATTTTATTATTGGTTAACCTGCATTTTACATGTTGGCTTTCTCAACACTGGGTTGACCTACTACTGTACTGCAAAGTTATGAAAGGTGAAATCGGTTACATACACAAAGACATACATGCATGCATGCATGTGCGCGCACACACAACTGTAGCAGCATTTTATATGTGTTATATCTGTCGAAAAACTGAAAAAAATACTTTACATTCTTAGACTGGTGTTTGTCAAATTTTTTGCTGTCGCAGTATGTTCGCTCACATTTTGTGCATCTCCGAGGGACTATTTACCCCCAAGTCCAGAAAACCTAGAGACGTCCCTTAATCATGGTACACTTCTAATACTGTGAATGATTGTATTTATCATTTAGCTTTTTACATGAGACCATATCAGCACATGCTCGTGAGGTGAACTGCGTGAGGTGACGCAGATGCTAGCGCAGGAACCAGGGCAGAGTTATTAAATGAATAAAATTAATTTAAAACAATTAAGTACTTAAATTAAAAACTGACAGTCCCAAAACCTCGGTACCACGAAAGGCTCTAAAATAAACATTTACTATACCTGATTACGGGTCAACGTGACTCCAGGCAGCACTAATGCCCCAAATTCGTTTTCATCTGGACAACGTACAGAATTTCTCACGCAGGAAAAAGAAACAAGCGTCAGTAAAAGTCAAAGCCCAGTACAGTATCAATCCAAATGCTGACAGGGGGAGTGTCACAGGTGTCCCGAAACTTCCTCAAAACCGCCCGTGAGTGCAGAGCTCTTCGCGTACAAGCAAAAAAATAAGTGACACAAAAAATGACTCCAATATGAGGAGCAAAGATAGACAACAAAACAGAAACTAACGACACTTCACCGATTAAAATACTTGTTTGGTTAGATCAGAATCTCGGTTGGCGTCACACAATTACACACGCACACACCTTTCATATTTTTGTCACGCCTAAATTTGGCACTTACGCACGGTCTGTCAAAGTGGCCGCCATTTTGGAACGAGCGTGCCAAACAAAGATTATGAAACCTCAAAAATAAAGTATAGTATTCGGCAATATATTGAGCGTTTTTTCACATAAATTTTTGTCTCCAGACAGATAACTATCAATTAAATATTTTCATAATCATTTTCATTACATATAAAATAACAGTTAAAAAGTGCAGTCTCACAACACCTCAACACCATCAGGAGCATTGACATGTGTTTACAAATTGTATCAATTCGCAATTCCCAACAGTTTATTCTCATTATGTGTTTCTCTTGGCTCAGGCTGCATTACTCCCAGTATGTGTCAGTGTATGAGTGTCAGAGATCTTCGCTCGGGTATGAGTCAGTAATTTACTTTCAATTCTAAGCATTGTGACTGTTTCTTTAACAAACCACATTTCAAGTCTGTCTTACAAGGCAGTTGGGAACGTCAACATTTTCCTGTCCTCTGGTTGGTTGGTCACAACAAAACTTGATTGGTGAAACACATCTGAAGGGATCTGTACTCTTATATCGATTTAGCAATCAGCATCTCTGATAAGACAACATTGAATCTGAACTGCTCCAGAGGACATACATGGCACAGTTGCATTGCTATACTGTATTGCATTTTTTGGTGTTGCTTTCTATGATTGCAATGTGATGGTGGCATTAATATAAGAGGTGGTGAGTCCCTGTTAAAGGTCCAAGAACCAAGTGCACAGCTCGCACCTGTAAAATACCTAATTTAATGCCAAATATTATAAATATCTACATATCTATGCGTTTCCTCAGGCTCATAAGGGAATTGGAGGCTGAATCTCCCCTGAGTTTAAGAGGGTACTGGTTGCTGGTCAGTTGCAGGGCAGAAAAAACAAAACTTTCAAACCTATGGACAATTTAGAGGCCTCACTGAAACTAACATGTCTGTTTTTGAATGTGTGAGGAAGATGGAGTACTGTTACAAAGTACTATACAGTGACATTCACATATGGAGAACAAGCATATGAATGTTTGCATGACCAATTACAGCCATGCAGAAGGTCAAACGTTACGTGTACCAGTGCTTGATTGTCAGTCCGTCATTTAAGAAAGTCTAACAAAAAAAGTTACACAAAACAGGCCGACATGTTTAATTCTTTCAGTCTGCAGACATGACACACTTTAGAAGAGTGACAAAAAGGTACTTCAGACGACGAGGAAATGCAGTCTCTTCTTGAACAAAAAAACAGTGAAAGGCGAAGTGAAAAACAAGTACTGTACAAACATTTCTGAACTGCTTCAAAAAAAAGAATGAGGCAAGAACAACGGAATAAGTGTGAGAATCCCAGCTCCGGTGAGGGGGGTAAAAAAAATCATTCACAATCATTAATGCTGGCTGATGCATCATGCTAGTCTTGCCACATGTAACACATTGGGCCTCTGGAATGTTGAAAAGAAAAATGACAATGCTGATGCTTCTTAATGCTCCTGTATTACTACACTCAAGTATTATTAAAATGAAGTCAAAATTATACATTTAGGCAAAAGTGTAAATGTGCGCATGTGTTTTAACAGTTTCGACACAAATGAACGTGGTCCCATCCCATAATAGAATGAGCCTATTTCCCTGTCCTCTGAAAAGGCCTCAAGCACGAACACAAACCTGAATTCTATTTCACAGCATGATGCTCGAGCGCCGACTTCAAAATCACACGTCCCGAGTCTCAATCGACCGTCTTAAATGTGGGTTGAATCATACTTTCCTTGTTGTACAGCACTGTCTCAGCTTTCTTGTCGCTTAACTTTTACAAAGTACTTTTTGCAAGCTTTAACTTTTGTTATGCAAACAATGGTCCAAAAAGAGTGACCGACCAAGATAAACTATGGGGAAAAAAACTATTGAAATTGGCAAATGAAACGTTAAACCCGTCTTCGGCTGATACAAGAAAACACATGCTATGCGGTATCATGGTACTGAAGCCCTTTGCATCACAGTCCACCTCAGCACAAACAAAACCAAAAAAAAAAAAAGTCACATCAAGATGATCATCCTTTGAAGTCAGTAGCTGCCATTTTCATTAAACTAATGTCTGTGACTAAGATGTAAGAAACATTGTTCAATTGCTCGATGGCTTTGGATGGCATTTATATTACAATGTTCAAGTCCAAGATTGTCCAACAAAGTATAACACGACACTGTATCGATGACAAATTCACTTTTAAATAAGCTTCTTCCCAATATGACATAGAAACAGTCGTATCTAACAGAATTGCTGCAGCCTTTAATGCTGTTAATATTTTCGCGTAATAATCTCCAATTGAACAACGAATAAACTTAAACGATGGTCCTCCAGAGCAACTGAGAGGTCACATTCACGTGTTGAAACGTCAGCAACTGTGAGTAAACTGCACAACACTTGAAGCTCGGGAATACAAAGCGCTCACAATGGTGAAAGCTTCCAGAAGTGGTCCGTCCCATTAAGCCGAGTGCAGCGGGATGACAAATTTGCATCCAAACGGAGAGAGGTATTTGATGCCCACTTCCTGGAACACCTGGCGGGGGACGCCGATGTCGCACAGGTACACCCTGCCAGCCCCCTCCGCCAAGGGAAGGGGGAGGCAAAGGGAGAGGGACCACTTGGCCTGTACCTGTCCGCTAACAGGAGGATCCAAGCTGAGCACCGGTGCCCGATTCTGGTTGGCCCATTCTGCAGCTGCTCGGTACCAAGGCTGATCCATCAGGAATGTGTTCTCATGGCAGTCGAGACTGTTGATGATTAGATCCACAGGGGTATCTGGCAGGTCTGTGCGATTGGACAACAAGACGGTGATGGTGGACTGAGTCGCGTAAGTCAACAACAAAGCTTTGTTGATTTTCATTTTTGCCAAGGAAATTTTCTTTCTTATCGTATCCGGGTGAAATGACCCACAAGTACCTGGAGGTCAGGATTGTTCAAATTTCACAAATGCTTAAGAAAAGGTGCCTGGAAGCAACTTTTACGACACCTTCAGCAAAAGTTACTCCTGGCCAACCTGATGAAAGTATATAACCCGGTACCCACAATTCTTTGCAGCCACAATATTTAAAGCAACAGACTATGCAAACAAGCTCGAGTTTCACACTCCAGTGCTAAGCACAAATTTACTTTCTTGCCATTAATTAACATTATACATGAGCTTTGAGGATCCATTATAAATGTTTTGATTTCGTATTTTAAGTCTGTACAGAAGAAGCACGGTCAAACAGTAGTTTCAGAATTGCGGCTGACTTCATTCCATAACAGTGACTTTTTTTTTTGTTTGTTTTACCATGCACTCGACAAATGCATATATATTTTTAATTAAAACTAAACTCGACTAAAACCAAGCATTTTATTAAAAAAAAAGAAAAAAGCTCTAAAAACAATTTAAAAGAAAGTGATTTAAAGAAAACAAAAGTTAAAACAAAATAAATGGAAAAACCCCAAACGATTGTAACTGGTTGATACGGCAGTCAAGCAATTAAATAATTCAGTCAGGTTCTCTATATTTGTCGTCGCTATTGCAATACCATGTTCGGCACAATTTTAACACCAGAAGCCCTTTCTGACACAACCCACAATGGATTCCAAAAAGATTTGATCGCGAAAATGCCTTACAATAAAGTACAAACCACAGCTAGCACGACTGAAGCAGAGACAAAAAAAAAAAAAAAAAAAAAAGATGCTCACCTTTGATATTTGACACTAGCTTGCCGCTGGTCTTACTGAAGAGAGTGCGCTCACTGGTGACAGAGTCGAGCATCATGACAAAGTTCGGAAGGAACAGGATGACCTCAACTTCGTGATTGGCCAGGTGACGACCGCAGCTGATCCCCTGTGCCCCCTGCACATGCGGACCACACAGTAGCGCCACTGTTGGACGCTGGTGGAGATTCTTTGGCGTGAACCTGGAAGAACAGAAATTCGAACTGTATACTCCCTATTTTTCTGCGTGGAATTTATTCATTGGCAAGGTACTACTACAGAACCGGGAAGGTATCCATCAAAATTTGTAACAAAAACAATGTGAGCTTAATACAACTCCATATAATTGAGTCTTGTAGTGCAGTTCATTAATTTCAGAGGTTCAATTAAAATCGAAACTCATAAAAGTTAATTAAACACATTTGAAAACACTACAGAAAATTAATTCCTTCCAAATATTTTGAAGTCATTTTCATGGTTTATGTAATATGGTATCCTAATTTCTTAAAATGGCAAATGTGGGATTTTTATTTGCTGTAAGCGCAAAAAAAAAATTTAAACAATCAAAAACATCAAATCATTATATATTTCACTGTTTCACAAATTTACTCTTTCCTCCACCATGAGGCAATCTAGAGCAGCCAAGCAATCCTGATGGCTGTCAAGGTCGTTTTTCAAAATTTTTATTCTTTTCCTGCTCTTACTCAAAGCCAACAATGAGGCACACTAAAGCTGCACTCAAAGCGCAAAGGCTCAGTCCACATGTTGCTGTCAAGTCAGGCTTTTTTCAAAATATTGTCTCCAATCATTTTCCCCTTCTTGTTCTTCTGCCTTTCTCACCATGACGGGTGGTCATCCATAGCCAACAACGGGGCGCTCTAAAATGGCCCTGCCAGCGGAATATCCAAAGGGTGTTGGATTATACTGGATAACGGCTGATGTGAACAAAGACACTTCAGTTCTTATATAGGGGGCAACTCATGCCAGAAAAAATTAGCTTTGCATTCTGTTTACCTGTTTGGCCCACCGAGCAGCGTGAGCGCCATCTGACTCGCGCACACACCGGTCATCTCAAGCCGTCGCTCCAACGTGAGGCCGTAGCGCTCTGCGACTGACAGCAGACGCTTGTGCAGTTCATAAGCGATGCTGGGTACAACCAGTCCAGAGTCTATATGGAAATAAAAGCAAGAATAAAAAAAATAAATAAAAAAAACACATTTTCCATCTGCTTCCATTTTGTGGCATTGTGAAAAACATACCAGTGCAGTATTCTTTGGCCCCAGGTTGTGGTACTGTTATCTGTCTG